GATTTTTGCAGACAAGTTCTGGTAGGTACAGAAGCGTCAGTGACCCCAGCAGTCTACTCCCACCACTGTGATGGAGGTGCATTCATCCATTGCATTCATATGGATCTACCTGGATGAAGACAGGGAAATGGAGGGGCAGACAGAAAGCAAGGGAGGCCTAACATGTTAACTTGGTGTTAGTCAGAATTCAGTCTCCAGTGTCTAGAAGCACTGAGAAGTTACAAAGCATTAAATCTGTTGTGTGCATGCCCAAGGCATCGGGTGCTGTCCCTCAGAGGGGAAGTGGGGGTGCTCTATCTTTCTTTGTCACCCTCTCTTCATTAGTTCCAGAAAGATATTTTAAAATATCTGTTCAAAGAACAGGAAAACCATTTCCCCACCCGCTTCAGATTCTAAGTGATGTTTCCACATTACTAAAGACATTTCAAGATTGGCCATACAAAGTGCTATTAGTGTAATGCCTGATAATAGTTTAGAGGAGCAGGAGGTGCCTTAATGCAAATATCATGTTGCAGGAATCAGGGTGCTTTGCAATAGCTGCTCTGTTCCTGCTTAGATGTAGACCATTATTTCTTGATTAGCAAATTTGGTGCCTGCATTTTTCTTTGCATCAGTAAAGGAAAACAGAAATGTAGCCACCAAGCTTTGGGAAATGTATTTTCTTATATATTGCTGCTATGATAAAATATGTTAAAAATTGGGCAATAGGCTTTAACTGAACTCTCTGTGATTTTATTTTACAGATCCTAAGTCTAAACCCATTGGGTTGAAGGCATATAGAATGTTATGAATAAAGTTGGCCCCTTTGAAACTGAAAGGTGTTTTCAAATTTACACTGAATTTAATGGTAATTTTATTTCATTTCCAAATGTTAAGCTCGTTCCTAATAGGTGCTGTCTGAAAGAAAAGTCGCAGTGGTCGCCCAAAATTTGACTGTGTAATTTTCATCAAAGTAATTTCCGGATATGTATGTGCATATGTATGAGTATTTGGGTACTTTTAGAAGCCAAATTATCCTAGTGTCAACATGCGTGAAAATCCCAATTTATGGCAAGACCTATGTAGTGGCAGACTGAACAATGTTTTCTTGTTCCTTCCTTCATTCCCCACTCAAAAAGCTCCTCTTTTTCCAAACAGAACAGAACATTATTGCAGTAATGGGCTATATTTCTTTTTATGCAGACATTCTTTATTTCGTATGATGTTTTAGGATCTGTGTTGTTTGTTTTCAACTTTCAAAACTGTATATGCCTACTTCATTAAAGGCGGTTTTCATTCCCACTACCTTGGTTTCATTACTTTCCAATATACTGCAGTATCTGGCTTTGATAACTCTCTTTTCCAAAATCAGCAATGACTTCTTCTTGGCAACTAACAACGGTGAAAATTTTCAAAGTAACTTAATCTTCTAAATTAAATCTGCTTTATTTATTTATTTTTAAAGCCTTTTTTTCTGTCTTCATCCTTCTTGATTTGTATCCTGCTTTGTCAGCGTGTGAACCATTAGCACCTGAATTCCTCCAAGATTTAAGAGTTTTCTTATTCTCTGAAGTAAAAGAAAACTCTTCTACCTCAGTGGTCTTCCAGTGGTTCCTGTGACACTTCCTTTGTCATTGTATTATATAATTTCTTCTTGTCTATTGAGAGTTTAGCATATTCAGAGTGATAACTAAATAGTACCTGGGGCAGCAAGCAATAATTAAAAAAACCCCATAATATGTAATAGAAGAAAAGACACTGACTTTGGCTGGTGGAAGAAAAGATACAGGACTTTGAATATGAGTACATGAGATAAGTTTACTAGTAAAATCCAAATTTACATAGATGGAAAACAAGGGGGATTTTTATGTCTGCATACAGGTTCAACTGTCTTTAATGAATGCACTCTAAATATCCCACTTCAGTTAGTTGATCATAACTTTCCATCAGCATTCTTTAGAAAGCATGCCTTCTGTGTAAATGCAAATAAGAAGCTATAGGAAGTCATTCTTAGTTTAGGACAAGCAAGAACAGCTATACTGAGTCAGTGTAAAGCTCATAAAAACATAAGTCAAAGTACTCTGATAGCAGTAGCAGGTACTCAAGAAAGGAGTATAAGCAGCAGAGCACGTACAGTGATTCTTCCTCTTGTGTAACTTCCCAATATTCACTTGTTGGATTTTGAGGACTTGATGAGTTGAAGGTTTTGGATGTTGTGTTTTATAGTATATGATGCATCTATTTGTGGTGAATTTGTCAGATACCTTTTAAGATATTTATACTTCTGGTGTCCTCGGCATCCTTTGGGAATACTGTTCAAGTCTAAATAATTTGTTACATTTAGGGAAAAACACTTCTTGTTGCTAATTGTTTCCTTGGTTCCCTGAGTTCTTATGTTACGTGAAATACCTAATTAATGAGAGTACATCTTCTCCATGATTTTGTAGAATGACATAGATGAGAATCTAAATGGACTGCTTAGTTTCTTTTTCTTTCTTCTTTTCTTAAGATAAATTCCAAGCATTGTCAATATTTTTGCGCAGAATGCATTTTGATTTTTTTTAATGTTACCATATACTTTCTTCAAGTTTGTTGTTAAAAGTACATAAATGAAAGCGAATATGTAGTCTAATCATCATGTTATAGATGCTATATTTATGAATATGTGTCTTTCAACTTCCCACTTTATAGCACTAGTAAGAATTGATCCTGAATTCATGTGTTCATCACATGAATTATATGATTATATATCATTTATATGATTATATGAATTATATAAAGTATCTAATTTCAATTTTAGACTGTTGAAATGCTCTTGAACTTTATTAAGTTTATAACGCTCTGAATTTAATAAGAATTTGGGATGTAGGAATTTCTGTATGTTTACATGCATTAGTTAGCAATGTTTGGTGGCATGATTCGATTGTCATTATATGGGTAGTACCTTTTGAGATGGCCTTTGGTGTCCCACCTGGCTTATTTAAAGCTGTTCTGGGTGCTGTCGTCCTTTGTCATATTTACGTGCCCCATCCTGATGCTTTGGACACCAAAGGGCATCCCCGTTGTCACTAGATAACTGTGTGTGAACAGCTAAGCTAGGGCCTTGATTTTGAGAAGGGAAAGTGGGGGGACACACAGGGTTTTCTGTGATCAACAGTAGTAGAGACGTGAGTGATATTAATAAATATTACTTGGAAAGATCAAGATTGTCAGGAGTCTTCAGTAATAAATGCAGCTGTTGTTGCTTAATGGCATTTCATAACATCTGGTTACAGGTTAGCATCAGTAATAAGCATGGGGAAAGAACAGATGCAAAAGCAGAATTTTGGGTGGACTTGTCCTTACTTAATCCGTATTATAATGTCATGCTATATAATAGGAAATAATCTGGTGTCCACGGAAATTCTCAGTCCACGGAAAGCTGGAAATTTCAGCAGAATGCTGATTGTTGTTGGAGCCAGGGTTATATTATGATTTAATGGCTTTTCTGGGCTTCATTTGATGACCTGGCCTAGAAAAACATTTTGAAGTAATAAAGCGTCTGTTTGGCTCCAAACTAATGAGAGAAGCATTGCTCTTTGCATTAACTGTTCTTTAGGAAGAGCTGTGGAGAGCTACTAATAAACCTTATTAAAAAGATTAAGCAAGATTGAAGGAAATAGAAAACAGAGAAAGTATTCCATTCCATGTGAAGTGAGTACATAAAAAAAAAAAAAAGGAAAGAACCAAATGCAAGCCCACAGGGTTTTTGCATCCCTTCCATGTGACTTGCAGCTTGCTGCACTTCAGTTACGTTGCCTTTGAGATATGTTAAAGTGCAGCTCAGTTTAATGAAGAAGTGGATAGGACACATCAAGACTAGAGACTTTACAGCAGAGATCGGGTAAGTAAATGCAGCTGTAGATAAGTGTTTACTAATATAGTGCAAATGTTACAATATCTAGCCTGTAGCATTTAAAACAGTACTCAGAGCTATAATTTTTTGTTGTACTTGCTTTGTTTTACTTAAATAGTTAGCAAGTTTGGGAGGTACATGCTATGCAATAGATTTATGGATATGACTGAGAAAGGATTTAATTTTATTTTTCAGACTTCCTACAACAAAACAAATGGCTTTCCTTCAATTTCATGTACTTACTTTGTTTTAAATTCTTTACTATGTAAGTAACTGCTTTGTCTATTTTAGTGCAGTGCTCAAAATAATTTCAGTGGGAGTTAGCTGATAGTTTCTGGTGCCTTCCTGTTATTTTAATTATTTTTCTATTGGTGAGGGAGAGAGGAAAACAGCTTATACTCTGAACCTCCAAGGTGCAGCGTTTTCACATCTCTAGAATCCAGCTGCAGACCACTGGAAACTCCCCAGCATCAACTTGTTCCAGGAATTCATTCGACCATCCTAGTAGGATATGATTTCAGCTGTTTGCTTTAGTTCTCTGTGTCTTTTTGTAAAGATTTGTATGTGTTCTTTTACTGAGTTCTGTATAGGAAGTTCTGTTTCGAATTTATGTGAGTTTAAATTTTTGTAAATTTAATATCAATATACAAGATAGAGAAATTATGGAAGCTTTTGTTGTTGTTTAAGACTGCCAGGCTTTTGATTTTTATATGTTTTTGTTTCTAGCAATTGTTATGAACTTTGCAGTTGCTGTAATGCTGTTATGAAATAAGATTGCAATTTTAGTCAATTAGTAATTTCCAGAACAGTTGTTTTAGCAGTTTAAGTGCCTGCCATTTGAGTATTTCAATCTCAGTGTGTAGACAGAGCTGAGAAGGAGGAATGATCAATATAGATTGTAAAGATCTATACTGAAGCCTGATTCAAATCTTGGGAGCTGAAAAAAGAAAAGCAAACTCCTTCGTGGTTGGTAGTGTATTAAAGAAAATATTTTTAAGCATTTGGTGTCTTGTGATGTAGGGTGCGTCTTCCCTTTGCGTCATCTCACAGGAAAGAGTACCTAAAATATTATAGTCTATCATGATTTTTACTATCTGGATTATTCAGAGTGTGTTCTCTTTTTCAGATAATCACTCCATTTAGGAGGCTGATATTGTGTGCTGAGAACAGAAAAGAAATGGAGGACTGGATAAGCTCTCTGAAGTCTGTTCAGTCCAGGGAACACTATGAGGTAAGTTGACATCCCTCTCCGTGAGACCTGTACTAGCTCGGACAGACTGGTACTAGCTCAACAGATAAAGCTACAGGACACAGAACTGGAGTATTCACCCTTCTTAGTGTGAGAAGTGTGGCTAATGTCAGAGTGAAGCTTCATGTTAAGACCTTTACTAGTGGAATGACAGCTTATTATCACACTTCTGTTTAGAAGTTTGGAGGGAGAACAGGCTAAATACCCTTTGGAAAATACTTTTTGGTGAACGTTGCATTGTCATCACCTTGTAATACGGAACCGTAGCTAATTTCAGTCACCGTAGCTGTGTTCTGTACTTGCAAATTTGTCTTAACTTCTCCTTTACTAGACCGCACAGTTTAATGTGGAACATTTCTCAGGGATGCATAACTGGTACGCCTGCTCCCATGCCCGACCTACCTTCTGTAACGTGTGTAGAGAGAGCCTTTCTGGAGTCACTTCTCATGGCCTGTCTTGTGAAGGTAAAAGAAAAGCTTTCTTCCCCTTGTTTCTGATGCTGCATATGTAGACAGATGGCTGACGAGGGATGATTCTGAAAATAATGAATATAAGAAAATAGCCTGAAGGGAGAAATTTATTCACTAGAGTGACTTTCTTTTGGGCAGAGGGACTATTAACTGTCTGGCTCACCTACTTCATGCTCCAGATGCCTTTCTAACTTGTGTCAATAACACAGTTCCTTCTGTTGCAGTGACCAGTTTGGAACGTGCTGGGTGGATGGTTTGAAAGAAAAAACAGGATTTGTTTCATTTGCCCATCAAAAATGTGAAACACAATAGTCTTACTGGTTTGCAGAATCAGAATTCCTCAAGGAAAAAATCATAATGGTAGTTTCTGCCCCAAATCTGCAAAAATTCTTAACACTTTGTTCAATGCTGTGACCTCTTCCCCTCCAGTTCTTGTTTGCTCTGTTACTGCTGCCTGATTCTGTAGTGCAGGCAGGACAGATGAGGACAGATGTGTTGCTTTAAAAATTCTCCCATGCAGTGAGGGGGTAGAGATGTAGATAGATGTCTTTGTGTTTTGATGGTTCAACAGATGAAATCCAGCACAAAGAAGAAGGAGGTGTGGGTAAGCTTCAACATGAAGCTTATCTGGAGAAATGATATTTCACAAACAAATATTTATAATAAACCTGAAACAGCTTATTTATTTTCTGCTGCAGGTTGTGTGAAAAAGTAGTAACAAGTCTTGTGTTATAATCCAGCTGAAAATAAAGCACCTGTGACCGTGATATACGTTTCATATATATGAATTGTAGAGGTTTTTAATTTCCAAAATAGCTTACTGCCCAAAAAAGAATCAGTTACACCATTCAAAAATTGATTTTTTGGGTGCATGATACCCAACTGCAAATGCATTTCTGTTACTGATCCTGTTACAATACTTGAGGTCTGGGCATAATAATGTGTATTAAGGAAATCTTACGAAGGAAACATTAACCCACTATCCTGAATTGTCCATGCTTTTAATGTAGCTAATGGTACAGTTGCCAAGGAACGGGACAAACCCATTCCATAGAAATTGCAAATAGCATAGTTACTTCCAGCTACTCTGATGTATATTTTCCACTGTGTGTGAGTCGTTTGGACAGTTTTAAGGCAATTATGGTATTTTCATTGTCTGATGTTGGCAGATGGAAGTATCATGTGCTTAACTAAAATGCAGTTGTATTGCCTCTGTGTACAAATACAGTTATATTTGCTCAGGCAAATGAAAGGAAAGAGTTCTTTCCTTTCATAAAGAATTTATCCTTCTATAAGTTAATATTATAGCTATTTAACAAGGCTGTTTAGCAAGTATTATTCTTATAAGATTACCAGTGTTAATGGTCATGGTTCATAATTTTCTGGGTTTTCTAGTTTAGGAGTTTGTCACATTTCTGCGTAACTTATTACAAACTAATACTATATCCACATTTCTGATGCCAGTTGGTCTTTAAGCAGTTTTTCCTAATGGCTCGTGAAGGTAGCTTGGATTTGCTTTCACTGGTCCACAGTTTCGTAAAAGCGTATGACCTGGATTGGGTTATATGTAGATACTATGATTTTCTTTTACTCTTTAGCTACGACTTTATTTTTTTTTCCCAAGTGTTTTTTAAAACAAAAGGAGAACTTTAATTATGCATCTAGTCTAAATCTTCTGGCATTTGACTCTTCTACGGAATACTCATACTTTGTTTCTGATTCTGTAGACCTGTGAACGCCTGTGTTAACCATCCTTAATTTCTTCATCTAAGAAGCGTGTTTTGGTTTGATACTACTTTTTTCTCTAAAATTCTTATGTGACTGAGTTCATATTTACTGGCTTCTGCCGTGTGCAGTTCTAATGCATTTCACCATCTGGTTTTTTTTGACTTGCCCTGTGTTAGCAATATATACTGTTTGAGGAGACAATGTAGGAAGTATGGAGTCTTAAGATTCACCAGACATGTTCTGTGGTACTTCTTCTCATTACAGCTTTAAAAAAACCTGTTTAAATATTCATGCCTGGCATCTGAAGCCTCCAGCACTGCTTCACACTGGGAATCCATTTATACCTATATGAAATTCAATTATTTGTGTGGTCATTGATCCAGGCTACTCTATTATGTCTTGTATTGGGAAGCATGAGAGGCTCCTTCTCAAGAGATACTGGAGCTCTTCCTCCTGTCCGTGGTTTGTGTTACTGGCACATCAAGTCATCTTGAAAGTAGTTTAGAGACTTTGTACTCTTTGTGGTCTAATTCTTGACTGTTAACTGTAGACAAAAATAAAAATAAATCCCATTGCTGATATTTTGCAGGTTATGGTACTTTAGAAGATCAGTCTTGTAATATTTTATTCTCTTAGACCTGCTGGTCGCCAGCAGCGCTACACAACTGTTTTTTTCAGCCTGACCACACAACAAGCTTCATTTATTTTGGAGATAAGATTGGTGCCCTATTATTTCTGGGGCACCTTCCCTCCTAGTAGCCTTTGGCAGAGGTTGACCAAATAAATTGTAAGCCACCCTGAAGATAGTTCTGTAAGTTTTATGGAAGCCAGTGTAGGAAAAGAGAGTATGTTAATACCTTTGGTAGGGAAAAGACTGTAGTCTGAACTTGCTTCTTTTTAGAAGTCAAAGAATCAGTACATATATCAAACTAAAGATGTAAATTCATATCAAACCAGGCTTCATTCTTTCCGCTTCTCAAAAAAACAATTGACTTTTAAAAACTTTGATTATACAGTCCTTTGAAATGCAGTGCTATATCTCCCACCAGTTCCTTCTTTTGTGTCTTCACAAAAGATAATCTACTTTTCAAAAGTTGTCTGTGTGTTGTGTTGCTTTAGCTAGCTCTAAAGGCCTGATCTCCATGACATTCATCCACAGTCTTTACTAGGACAGAGAAATTACAATTTCTTTGCCTTGCTTTGAAAATGACTCCAAACTATCTCAATCAAGAAATGCTTGTGCTCCTTAAAGGTTTCTCTCATCCAGAGTACAGCTTGCTGTATGCTCAGGAGTATAAGCATAAGAAGTTATCAGGTAAACACGGGCATATATGGAATGTTTAGGCAGAGAAAACTAAAGAACCTAAAGATCATTATCTACAGAAACTCTTTTAAAGCTCTCTAGCCTCAAGTACTCTGTGTTAACACCACATTTCTATCCAAGTCATTGCCAGTGGAACACTGCATTTACAATTATTCTGAAAGATGTATTTTTTCATGTAGTGTTTTCAATATCAATATGACTGAACCTTGGTTGTTGCCTAATATGCTGGTGATTGCAGTTTAAACGGGATGCTTTCTCCTGTGATGAATTGCACACAGAAACAACATTGAAAGAACAGTTTAGGATCTTAAAGGCCAGCAATAAGAAAATATTTGGATTAACTTGACTCTGCAAATGCACTTCATGTACTTGGTCTTTTTTCATCATGATTGGTTTTTTTTTCCCACAAAACCCTGTTCTTCTTACCCACTGCACAGGGTACTTATCCACTACATGGGTAGTTGTTTCCAGGAGATTTGCTACATTTTCTGCACAGGCAGGAGAGTGAATAGCGAATGAAGTGGTCAGGAAGAGAAGGGATGTTGATTATTAAAGAATTAAGGAATAAAAGAAGACTGTGCTCTGTGACTTTGTATCACACTGTGCCCCTCTGTAATCCTGGGGAAATCACTTAAATAAGATTTCTGATCAAATCAGTGGTTGTGTGTTGTTTGTAATCTGGGACCTGTATGACGGAAAAGCTGTGCTTTCTCTAACTGCAAAAATCAGTTGAAGCTGTTCTGAAGTCACTGATACTTTGAAGATATATGTTATTGAAAAAAAAGGTCTTAACTGTGGTAGTACTTAGCATGAAAATAATAATAATTTTAAAAGGCCAGGAAGAAATGAAGATTGATGTATAAAAAGCAGTATTTCGTTAGCTTTTAGTAAATAAGGCAAACACCTGTTGAAAATTATTATGAACCAGAGTATGGCACAGCTGCATACTTACCAAGAACCACCCAGTGCAAGCAGGGAATGAGGGTCCTGTTCTCAAAAAGTGTATCATCAGATAACTGAAGACTTTATACTTGCATACAGAAGCTATATTGCAAAGCTGTATTGCAAAGCTGTATTGCAAAGCTGTATTGCAAATCTATACTGCAAAGTTAAGTTGCATAAGTAACGACTTTGTAGGACTTGACTTTGTAATATGAGTATTCTTTTTCCACTCTGTAATATTAAATTAACTTACAGAGTTATTTATTTGGGTGAAAATAGTAAAAACTGCCAAGACACTGCTGAATTTTATCCTTTATAACATAGACATAAGCTTCAAATTGGAGTGAAGTTAGGTTGCTGTTTTCACATGGATCACTCCATTTTCACTGTGACTTGTTCGTCAAAGAATGTGATAGTATTCTTGGAAACAAAACACCAAGTTTCTTGGAATACCTGAAGAAAAATCCTTCCATCTTGACAACTTAACTATAGATACAAGCTTAGGGATCTTCAGATCAGTTTCAAAATCTTTGGCTTTGGCCTTTGAAGTTGGAAAAGAACAGTTTCGGCCAGTTCTTCTTTGAAGAACACAGAAGAGAAAACTCATCATAAAAGTAGGTTTAGGGGAAAAAAAATTGAGTGTCCTGCCAGTGTAGTCTTATTAATTGATGAGTGGTTAGATTGAAAGGTCTTTGAGACAGAAATGTTCTATAACAAAGGCAACATATATGTATTTTTTCAGTGCAATAGATCCCATAATAAGGTTCAGTAATGTTGACTATTCTTCATTATAGATAATAATAGCTCTAGATTTAATCACTGTGTCTGACAGCATATGTTGGTATCACTGTGACAACAGTCTGCTAATTAAGTGGTTCTTTTGGCTGGCTTTTAGAGAGATCTACTTCATATTCCAGCTAGAAACATTTACACAGGAAATGCAAATTTAAAATAACATCCTACGAATACTCTAGATTTGGTTTGGCTCAATTTTTTCTTTTCTCATCTTTTAACTTGCATTGGTGAAGTAATGGCAATTGATGTCTAGCAGTATATCTGCATGTTTCCAAAAGATTTCCAATACCAGGCTGATACATGACTGGGATGCAGTAGGTTGGCAAACACGCAATATGATGCTGAGCTGTTTTGAAAATGTGAGCCTGCCCTGCTAGTTGAGGTATATGGGATATTTGCACACTTTGAGTCTGTGTATGCTGCTGCATTTTGAAATGACCAGGGGAGTTATTGTAAAAGCAAAAAACCCATTGCCTCCTTTTTCTTTGAGCTAAGCACATACTTTTACGCATCTCCCAGAACAGTGAGGATTGCTCTCAGACTCAGATTGTTGCTTACCTAGTCTCAATTCACTTTTAAATTGATCTGGCAATGGATCAGTGGAATTAAAATGAGAAATTTATGATTCACAAGACCTTTTGTACTGTTTTTTTAATGGTGGACAAGTGATGGGCCAAATCTTTTGATAGTTTCCTGTCAAATATTTCTTCGAAAAGAGACTACAACTTCTGGTCTGTTGGCTAGTTCTCATAAACCTTTAATGGCCTTTGCCAAAATAATTTCTATAATGCACTCTAAATAGAATGATGTCATGCAGTTCCAATAGCTGAAATACCCACAGTTGGGTGTGTCAATCTATTTGATCTAATATGGTATCATTACTAGTCATATTAATTGAGTTGAACAAAATACAAATAGTTACTAGATCGTCAAAATGTCTGCCTAGACTACACACTTGTGCTGAGTATTCCGATTAGTAGATTTTTAATAAATAATCCATTAAGGAGTCAGGCTCTTCCTCACTTAATTTAATCTCTTGGAAAATGTTATAACTACCAGTATCCTGAGTAAATATATCACCACCTAATCCTTCACTTCCTTAGCTTCTGGGAAAGCAGGCATAGCATGATGCCCAAACAGGATCCATTAAGCAAAGAAACAGAGCTCCTGAAGTAAAACACTTCTGTGAAAACATTCCTTGTCACCTCTTGCAAATTTGAGTTATGTCACTGGAGGAATAGAAAAGGCAAAAACACAGTTAAATGTGTATTTGTACCTTCGTACCTTGCAGTACACCTGAAAAAATGGGGGTCAGTGTGGATTTGAGGATGCACTTAACATGGGCTACAACTAAGCAGTTAAATCCAGTTTACACAGTTAAAGCTGGAGTGATTATGAACTGAATTTTCTTTTAGTTGGGTTTTGTCATGTGCAACACTAAATGACATGTATTTGGCTGCTTAAATCGAATATCTATGTTTAATTTTTTAAAAGATATATATCACTGAAATACAGCAAATAACACAGTGTATGTGTTTATGTGTGCCTTCCAGTGTGTAAGTTTAAAGCACATAAAAGATGTGCTGTCCGAGCAACAAATAACTGCAAATGGACTACATTAGCCTCAATTGGAAAAGACATCATTGAAGATGAAGATGGTGTAAGTACTATTTGTATTTGCAGTATTTTCCAAAGCTGTTTCTTCCTGATGGTTAAAAAAAAGAGACTAAGCATAGACATATTGCCATGTGAACCAGTGAAGTTAATGGTAGGTGGCTATATTCCTGTACACTTCTTAAAGATTAACATGGTATTTAGACAAAAGTTACTTTCCTATCTCACAAGACAATTTTAGTATCTGTGGGCACTAGATTGCAGCTGTATTATAAGATTTTAAAGGCCACATGCAGAGAAACTCAGAATCTGGAGAATTGCTCCCAGAAGTTCCTACTGCTCTTAAGCAAAGGTGGTATTTTATGCTGTTACTGTGCTGTTTTGGCCATCTATTTTGTGTCCTCCTTACCGATGGCTGTTTTCAGGAGGTTTCTTTGGAATTCACTATCATGTGGGTTGTTGGTTTTTTTTACTGATGAAAGCAGGAATTTTAAAATTAGCAGAAGGAATGAAAAAACCTTTTTAAAAGAATTTGTAATGGGTTATTTTTACAAACAAACTATGTATGTGCCACTGCTGTGAAACTTCTTCCTAGAAGGTTAGTGTGAAGTTGCACACCTATGAGTGTCCTGAGTTGCCATTGGTATTAATGGGACAAAGAGTGTACTGAGTAAAGCTTTGCACTGCATTTAGGGACTGCTTCATAGAGCTGTTACTTACCAACCATGGTGAGGGGGTAAAGCCAGAGAGGTGTTCTGCTGTCCTGCCTATTCTGAATTTTAGTTGTTTTACTTGGTTCGTGTCATGTAGTCAACATTAAGTTAGTGGCTCTTTATTTATATTACGGCATCTCTGGATTTCACTGCCCCATTATTTTATGGTTAGTTGCTACCATAGTACCATGAATAGTTGAACAAGATGTGCCTCCCTTCTTCAGCTGTCACGCTTTCTGCCTAGCATGTGAAACACCACCATAGGCCACGTTCATAGCTGCTGCCTTGTGAGCATCAGTGTCACTTACCCTGGTCAGCTATACCTGCTTCTTTGATGAAAGGGTAGACCTGTGGAAAGTACGTGAAATCCACCTACATTTGAGAGACAAAAGCCTCTAACTTCTGTTTCTGAGTATTTAACTCGTGTGACTACTTCTTCACAGATAGCTATGCCTCACCAGTGGTTAGAGGGTAATCTGCCTGTCAGTGCCAAATGCGCAGTCTGCGACAAGACTTGTGGCAGTGTTTTACGCCTGCAAGATTGGAAGTGCCTTTGGTGTAAAGCTATGGTAGGTGCAGTGAACCACATCCAAGCATTTAAGTTTTTGACAGCTTTATTGCTTTATTCTTTTTAGTTTTTCATTTCATAACCTGCTTTTGGATTAACTAGGAGCAGGCAGCTTGTGCAAACTCAGGTCTTTCTAATGTTCCTGATTTCTTGTGACTGTCCTACTTGCTTCAGTTGTTTTTTAGTATTCCCACAGCTGCAGCTTTGCTTTAGTAGGTGTTGGTATCCGGTGTGTTTTCTCTGACTTCTCCTAACTGATAACTGAAAGTTCAGGTGCCTGTTCTGTAAACCTGCTAATCGTATTTTCTTTTTTATTGCAGATATTGCTGTAATAATATTTTAGTAATATAGTTAATATTTATTGATATTAATGTAGTAATATTTTGTTACTGCATAATCTTGAAGTTCTCCAGCATACTCTGTAGGTTGCTGATTGAAATTCTATAGCATTCTATTGCTGTTTCCCCAAAACATAGTTTTCTCTTAATTTTTTTTAACTTGTCTAAGAAGATGGGTTTCATATACCAACGTACAGAAGTGGAAAGTTAGCAGCTTTTTTATTGTTGAATCTTTTGGCATATAGATGTCTGAGGCTTTGTTGTGTAGGCAGATGGAAATGATTGGCATCCCAGAGGTGATGTGAAATTTAGGTGAAGTGCAGCCTGTCTTTCCAACAATTATGGAGCAGACCTCTACAATGCACAGTTTATGGGACCCACCTTTGGTGGGTTAGCTTAGATCAGTGGGTTTGCTAGCTTTGGTGCAGATGGGTCTTCCAGAAGAGCCAGGTGGACCAGGCACATACAGAGCTACTGCTTTGTATGTGTGCAGAGTGCCTTCTGCCCCCAGCACGGATGCTGGCTGCTGGGAACTTGGCCCTCCCTTTCTCATGGATGGAGGCTAATGATTCCCTTGAACGGATGATTCATGTCTGCTATAGGGGTAGCCGAAGGTGAAGTGCTCCAAACTTATATTTTGTGGAACAAGTGAAAAGTCTTTGTGGTTGAACACTGTCACGACTTTTTTCTGAGTTTTGCTCCTCTTCCCGCTACACCTAACTATTATTTATTAGCCCATTTTTATTACATAGATACTATTTAATTTATACTTTCACCCTGAAATTCCACTGTAGGGAACTAATTTTTTGTTTCTTTTGTAGGTTCACACTGCCTGTAAAGATCTGTATCCTCGTAAATGTCCACTTGGTCAATGTAAGGTATCGATCATACCTCCAACAGCACTAAACAGTATAGACTCTGATGGTACGTAGTATTGTAGTGCGTTGAGTGGTAGCTCTGGACTTGCGGAGACTGCACTTAAAGGCAGCGAGTGGATTTCATAAGGAGTATCATGAAATCTAGCAGCTTTAATTTTATGGTTTATGTTGATGGAAAGTATAGACCAAAAACTTTATCACAATTTAATAGATTTTATTGTATGAAGTTAGCAAAAGTGATTGTTTATGCTGTATATATTCACTCTGTTTACTTGCTATGCAGTGTCTTAGACCAGAACATCATGCTACTGTTTATTATTCATGCTAGGAAGATTGTTCCATATGTGAAATTATTTTTCTTGGCATTTAAATAAATTAATCAAACCTTATTTTAAATTGCACATTATGGTAAGTGGATTTAAATTAGCATCCTTTAATGCCATTCTTTTTATTTGTAGCTCTAGTAATTTTTTTAGTAATCGAAAACAATACTGTCATTTTAACTTTGCCTGAATCAAATGTCAAAACCTGTATCTACAATGTCTGATTTTGAAGTGTTGCTGAGAAACCACTGCTTTCATCGACTGGTCATGTTAGGGACAACAGTGTCCATTAGTACCACTTACTAAGGACATTATAGAAAGCCTGCTGTAATTAGTTAAGGCCTGCACTGAATTTACTAAGCTTTGAATCACAGCGGAAGACCTCTTGTTCAGTGATTCTATTATAATTAGTAGTATAACTTCAGTCTGAAAAAAAGGTTATCATGCGAAGTCTCACCTGGAGTAGCTGAATATAGTAACTTAAAATCTGTAGTGCTCTTAGAAAGCTCATACAGATGTGGATGATCCATTTCAACCCAGTAAAGTTGAAGAAAAATCATATTCGAAACCAAACACTTATAACTGAAATATATATTTAATTAAGTGATAATCTCTGAAGGTGAGATTTGGGAAGTATTCTAAAAGGTTAGTACTCTTCTTCACTATGGAAAAACAATAAAGCTATTGTCTTCAGGATTTTACTAAATCTAGACACTGAAAATACCTGAAAGAAAAAAATGAACTGGTAAATCTTTAGCAATTATGTTTTCCTTGCAGGGCTAGTACTCAGTTTAGAGTTTACATTATGCATGATAAAATGTACTCCTTTTGTCCTTCATCCCTTTCTTCCTCTTTCCCATGATTTCTTTTTGTGTTGTTCATATTAGAAAGCTTTATTTATTTCATTCTTTCTAACTATGTTCACAGGTTTCTGGAAAGCCACATGCCCGCCATCCTGTGCCAGTCCTCTTTTAGTTTTTGTTAACTCAAAGAGTGGAGACAATCAGGGAGTAAAGTTTCTTCGGCGATTCAAACAGTCGTTAAATCCAGCTCAGGTGTTCGATTTAATGAATGGAGGACCTCACTTAGGGTAATGACCTTGGAAACCTGGAGCAATCCTTTCTGCAAGGGAATTTAGTGCGAAGTATAGTGTCGTGTTGTCCCCGCATTGCTAAAATTCAAAACCAAAACCTATCAGCCCAACTGTTTAGTGGCTTTTTGGCTAGCTTTGACTTCTATTAACTGGTAAGACTCAAAACCGTTGCAAATATTGAGATGCTTTCCTGAATCAGGGCCTTTACTCAGTTGCCCAGCTGCTTTTCTTACATTTCATATGCGTAATTCAGATGTTCCTGTGAATTTTTTGTGAATAGATATGGAATAAAACTGTTGTCTAAATGTACTCTGTATTTTTTGGAAATTCTGAACACAAATGCCAGTGGGGGAGTCTGCAGTGGGTGATGGACGAGTACAGTAAAACTTCTGTCATCTGAAAACTATGGTCAAAATATAGTTTAGGCAACATATGCAAATGGTCAAGAAAATTAGCATCTCACAGAATTTGGAGCAAGACCACAGTTAAAATCATCAGGCATTCTACAAAACCTAAGGGTTGATTGTTGGAGAGAGAGGGGTGAAATTTGCATAGTGGTGGCCACAACCCAAGCATCTTTGCACATTCATAAAGATTAAATTCATGCACATTTTTCTGTTACCTAACTTAATTCCACTCAGATATGGCATTGTGGTTGAATGGCCTATTAGTATCAGTTACAGGAACTAGAAACACTAATTTTTGTACTCTTAAAGATGCAGAATTATGCTTGTGTGCTAAAAATGTAGAGGAAACATACACAAAAATTCAGTTCAAACAGTGGGCAAATAATACAAATACAATGGAATACAGCTGTGGACTTTTGTGCTCAGTACTGTGTTATTGACATGTTATATTAACTCTTTAAATTGTAATATTCTTTTAATTATAAGCCTGATAATCTGAATTGAATCTAAATCCCTTTTGGCTAACATTGCGTACATGTAATTAAATTGACAGTAAAAAGTTGATCTAAATTGGAGAGGCAATTTTTGAGAGAGGACATTCTGAAAAAGATGTCTGTTTGCAAGTTCTCTTGCTTCATTGTCCTGGGTTCGGCCATACAGTTGTACCTAGGAGCAGCAGCATGGTTCAGGAGGCTTGCTTTCGTTTTTTAACCTATGATTATAGGTCAGCTTGGTTGCTTTTAAATGTTTTCCCAAACAGTTTCCAAAGAGAGAGTCTTAGCAGTTTTTCTATCAGGTTGTACTGATGTATTCTTTTTTTCTAGTTGATCTAAAAGGCAGAGTTGCATTGTTTGAGCCAGTGTATGCCTAGGTGTTTTCTCCCTTTTCTCAGGATAGGAGAAATTGTTTTGGTATCAACATTTTTTTCCTTAAATATCTGCATCTTTTGTTCTGAATAGGAATCTGCCTATCATATAGAAGTGACACTATTTTCTTAGAAAAAATATAAATGCTTCAAATATTTGTGATCTTAATATGTTGCTTTATAGAAATAGTTCTGAGATTATACATATTCTGGAAAATAACATGCATTAAGAATAAACATCTTTGGTTTTATTATTTTAAGAGTTTATACTTTACAATTCTTTGTTTTGTTGGTGTTTCTTTAAGTTTAAATCGTTGTTGGTTTTACTTATTGGCCGTTTCTTCACATACCATTCCCCTTTCCTCTGTGTCTCATCTTTCTGTTTGTTCTGTCTCTCTTGTCCTTTTCTGTACTACCCAAGTGTTGTATCCTGGAGTTGTTGCAAGTGAGAGAACAGGAGGAAGTGAAAGCAGGATATGGCTTTAAGCATCTAACATGAAATGCATATCTTATTTGTCTTACGTTGTTGTGATCACCTTATGTGTAGTAATTGCCTCCAACAGTCCTTGCTTTTAGTTAGTCATGCATTGGCAAAGCCCACCTGTATTGTGGAGCATATCCTGTCATTGTGTCTCGACCTCTTCCAAAAATTCCCCATCGGTGCCTTGTGCTTCTGGCTGGAGTGAGAAGCACAGAGCAGTTGCAATTGCACAGTTTAGAATTTTTTAAAAATATGAATAAAATAACATTAATAAAATCCTGAAAACAATATCAAGGGAATTTTTTAAGTAAAACTTGGCATGTTATTTATCAGAAATGTCAGTATAAGTGGAATATACAGCAGTAGATGGGATGCTGCTAGGTTTATTTAAGTAGATGGCTGTATCCACATACCCCCGAGCAGTGAAAGGACCACATTTTCATGTAACAGTTGCTAATGAATATGACTGCTTTCTCAGTAGTGGATGTTACTGGCTCTAAGAAGCTGTATTTTCTCTGCAGTTTGAGGTTATTTCAGAAGTTTGACAACTTCAGGATTCTTGTGTGTGGCGGCGATGGAAGCGTGGGTTGGGTCTTGTCAGAAATTGACAAGCTCAGCTTGCACAAACAGGCAAGTGTGCATACTTACTTTCCTTGACTATACTGACCAGCCTTAATTTTGTATGGTTGCTTTTCCTTGACTTGGTTCTTTGTCATATCTTGTATATGGGCCAAACTCAATAGTTACTGTTAAATGAAAATTTTCACTGGTGTAAACCAGGCAAGTTGTGTCAGGATTGTACAATTGAATTTACAAGCTTTAGATATCAGCTATATAATTAACGTTTGCTGCTTGAAGTAACAAGCATTTGTAAGAGTTTGTACTTTTTCTTTCAAGTTTTCACTAGTAGATTTGCTCCTATGTTGTGTTTCAGTGTCAGTTAGGAGTGCTACCCCTTGGTACTGGAAATGACCTCGCTCGTGTCCTTGGTTGGGGAGGATCCTGTGATGATGATACACAACTTCCTCAGATTTTGGAAAAACTAGAACGAGCCAGCACGAAAATGTTAGACAGGTAAATTTGAATGGTTATACCTGATTTACCATGAGATTCAAATTGTATTTGTTTGGGTGTCTGATGGCCTAAATCCGTCTTAGAGACTTAGTGTTTGGTGGTTTGGGTTTTTAGGGTGCAGATCATAATCATGAGGGAAGCCAAAATAGTAGTGGGGACAGCTCTTCAATGTCTTTTTTAAACTGAAGAGTCAGAGGGGAGAGTGGTTGATGAAACTAGGAAATGCGTTGTCCAAAGATGAACAAAAGGTGACAGTTTATTGCATAACTGATGAAGCTACATAACTGCCTGTTACAAGAAGTTGTAAGCATTAAGAAATTGTAAGGATTCAAAACTGTTTGGGGCAGTTTTATGGGCTCCATGCATGTTATTAAGTGCCATTAAAAGTAACATATTTATTTCAGAGATTCCTGAGCTCTCTTTCCTTGGATGTGAGGAGAAGTCAGATTGTGTGCTTTCACACTTCGTATAATTTCCTGAGGCATCAGCTATGGATAAGATGCTAACTGCATCTTTGGCTTGATCTACTACTAATATTTCTGGGGTTTTAGTCAAAAACAAGAGACCTTTCCACTCCTTCTTTTGTATGGTTTCTATCCATTAAGCAGAAGAGCAATCCCCATTTAAAAAAGTCAGAGGATGATGGTCATGTCATTCCAATGAAGGTGTAACGCTGTTTTTGAGAACAGTTATTTCTTACTCTGTTCCTTTCTCTTCTTTCTGTGCTTGCTCTAATTACAAATGCATGAATGTCATTAAAGGCGATTTCATTTTAGGTGTTTTTAATATGGAATAGACAAACAAGTCGGGTTTTTTTTTATTTTAAGCTTTTCTGCAGATTAATTGATGGTTTTACAGCAAAGTACGTAGTGAATTGCTTGTTACTGGTCCTTAGAAATAATTGTTGGCCTGGACATTCTGAAACACTAGTAGATTAAATCACGTTTACCTTTTTCTGTACTGAAAAAAAGCTTAGTTTCCTTTTTTGGCTAATTTCAGTAGACTTGCTCCCAAGGCCATCTTCAGTGATCACTTGTTCTTTTCAGCAGGCTTTGAAGGATGTTGCTATTAGCAGTTTCATACTATCTATGCTGTGGAGTACTGTCCTTTACCAGGGGAAGATACATATATGTGTCAATGAAGATACTTCACCATTAGCTTTGTTCTCATGTCTGCCTCCCCTAGTTGAGATGAAAAGCTAATGTAACCTGAGAGCTTTTTCTTTAGAAACAGGTCTATTTTCCTTTCACTTCAGTAGTTAATTTCCACAAATTCTTTTATGCTATGTTATGAATGTTTTACCGCAAAATCTGTTGCTTGCATTGAATATCCCATGATTTGTTCACAAATAAGGCTCGTCATCAAATCACTAACAAATAATCTGAGCAATAAAACTAATGTTACCATTATTCTAAATTGTTATCCATATGTAATTAGCTTACAATTGAAAATTAAGCTGCTTTTTTTTTTTTTCTTTTCTAACAGATATTCTGTGATGTGACAATGAATTTTCTTTTTGTTATGTTGGAGAAAAGATGAAACTAACGATCTGGAAACTTAAAAGCTGTTGTTTCTTTCAGGTGGAGTATAATGTCATATGAACTGAAATTACCAGCAAAGCCTTCTATACTTCCAGTGACTGCAGAAGAGTCAGAGGAATGCCAGGTGGACTTCTACTTTTGTTGTTTTGAATATTAAACAACCTGGTACATAAAATACAATATGCAGGTAAAATCTGCATTGCCAGCTGCATGTCCTTGTAATAGATCTGAAATGGAAATCCTGCTGGGTTTGAAGATGTTTTAGCTCACTACTTGGTATTAAACTGCGGAAATGTGGGAAATTGAAGTCTTTTTTTCTGTCTGTTTTCAGATATCAGCTTATGAGGACTCAGTTGCTGCTCATCTTGCAAAAATTCTCAATTCTGATCAGCACTCTGTTGTCATATCATCTGCCAAGTGAGTTTATCCGTTTTATGTACCATGTATGGGATAAATCCCCTGTGTAACACCATCACCATAATAACCTTCTGTCTAAGCCTGATTTTCTTATGTCTGGCCCAATTGGCTTGCCTTAATGTGTCTTGAGTTATATCTTTTAGAGTGCATGTTTTTTTATGCAAAATTTTTATATGGCACAATTGTAATGGGTAGCTTAATACTAAACACATTGAAATTTTAAAAAACCACATAATATAAAGTGATTTTAAATCACATCAGTGTGCAGCTTATATATGAAACTTACTGTTAGTAGTGCAAATATTTGATCTTCTTCACATTACGTTTCTTCTGTTTTGCTTTATGTGTATCTTTATCCATATCTTTAAGAGGACAAATAAACAACTTCACCAATATGAAGCAGAACTTCAGGCTAGGTAGCTTTGCCATAGCTGTGTCAATTCAATCAGTAGTGATCTCAAATGAAAGGGTTCTTTTCCCCAGATTGAAACACTTAAAAATGAGAAATAATTACTTGGCATATTATGGACATCATCTGAGATCAGAAGGATTCTGTATATACCTTCACTGTGAAGAAAAAAAAATAGTTGTATATTTTGATGTATGCAAAAGAACAGTCATAGAATCTTAAAAAGTACATCTGAATGTTATTACATCACTTTCTTTTTTGCTAAATGCAAGTTAATAAAATTTTGTTTCTAGACTATACATAGCACGTGTTGAAAATGAAACCGCAGGATATTATAACTCCAGATTCTAAATTAGGTCTGTATCTGGTTAAATTTATTTAATTTCTGTCAAATAAATTTCAACAAAATGAACAGTACTAAGCAGTTATTCACATCACATTAGTAAGTTTGCTGTCTGTCTGCAGTGTAGGTAATAAGAACCAAGTCGTTCTCTGATATACACAATGAAAATTCATTGCAGCCACTGTAGTTTGCATAGATATGCCTAAGCTGTGGTTCAAAAGCATGAGCTGTGCAGTGGGATGTGTGTAAGAAGAGCTCCATTAAAGTCAATAGGTTTTCTCTATGGTTTCTAGGCTCCATCTTTGCATTGGAATTTGCAAGACTGTGTTTGTAGTTGTCAGAGTGAATGCAAGTTTGCTAATTCCTGTGGTATGGAAGGTGTACAAGCAAAGGAATGGATAAAATTAGTCATGTTTATTTCAGTTCTTAGAAATAAGAGACTGAGACACAATGTGTGCAAAGCCCTAAATAAAAGGTAGGAAGAGTTTTTGTTTTGAAGCTTATCACTTGAATTGAGTGTTGTCAGCTTTGATCACAGAGTTCAGTTTTCAGTAACAATGATGTACAGCAGTATGAATATAAATAAATTGCCAAAAGAATGTAATGTTCAAAACGTACCTATTTTATTTCATTTGATTTCTCCCCTCTCCTTATCTGAAGAATATTATGTGAAACTGTAAAGGACTTCGTTGCCAAAATAGGGAAGACTTATGAAAAACCAATGGAAAATGCAGAGGAAGCTGATGCCATGGCCATTAAAGTAAGACTATGTTCTGGTTTAAAGTTACGGGGTTTTTAATGTTTATAGCTCTTAGATGCTTAATTTTCGAATTACTTCAGGATGCCCAGCTTGGATTTCATTTCAACCAATGACTTGAAAATCTTGTTTTCTTCTTGCATAGAACGGTTATTTCCAAGCCATCTTTAAACTCTTAAGATGTCTATAAATGCTGTTCATACTTTTTCCTTTATAAAGGATAAAGTTCATGGCGACATACATAGAGACAAAGGGAAATATTTTGCATTAGGAGTTATCAGCAGGAGGGTTTGGTGTGAGGCACAAGATTTACATGAGCTAAACAGATAAGAGGAAAACAAAATCACTAGCAATCCCAGAGTCAGGAAGTGTGCTTGCTAAATGGCAATTTGTGGTTCACATTTCTATTCAGCGCACATTTTAGAAAATGAGCTTTTCTTTTTTACTGTTCCAAGGTCAGACAGTGTTGGTTTCCTTTCCCTTAAGCTCAGAAAATCTATAAAATCACCTCTTCTCCTGTGTACCTGAAAAGAGCAACTGCTTAGTGATAGGCAGAGATGCTTGAGGTGTTTGGTTCTGGCTTGAGCCTCTCTGCTCTGTGACAACTTAATTGCTTAAATGTACAGCTGCGTTGTGAAAACAACCTCATGTGTCTCAGTCTAACAGCTGGGCATGTCCCCATAGATTATCTCTCCAAATTGGGGTACTGAACACCCATAATTTCTTATAATACATGGTATGGGCAGATCAGTGGTGATTCTCTGTGCTGCAGGCCACTGGGGGAGGAGTCAGATCTAATCTGTACCCTAGTTATGTGGCAGGCTGAGTTTAGCATGGTGTGTTATTTTAATCTGAGTGTCGGGGTTTTTGGTTGTAATTGCTTTAATCTGTTTGGGTGCCACAGAGTATGTCTGGAAAAAAAACATGCAGACTACTCATAATCTGATATTGCAAAGTGTTGAACCTAAATTTGGATTTTACATAAACAATTACATAGACACTTAAGACGCCTACAGCTTTAAATATAATCTGGTTCTTAATCTCTTGAAAATGTTAAGGTTTTTCTGTGTGTGTTCTTTTGCACTTTGTCTTAGTGCTCTGAGTTAAATGAGAAGCTAGACCTGTTGCTCCAGGCTCTTCACACAGAAGCCCAGGCTGCTCCCCTTCTCCCAGGCATCACTCCCCCCATTGTGGAAGAAGAAGCAGAGGAATTTTCAAGTGAAGAATCCTTGTCTGAAAGTAAAGAGCAATTAGCAGAGTGTGTCTCAAAGTCTTCCACCCAGAAACTCTTCAAACCAAGGGAACAGTTGATGCTCCGGGCAAACAGCTTGAAGAAGGCTGTGAGGCAGATCATTGAACAAGCAGAAAAAGGTGCACATCAGCGACGTTTTAATCCTTACTGATAGAATAAGGTTGCTTCTTTTCTTTTTTTTTTTTTAAACTAGCAGAAGTTTTCATTATTAAAGTTTGATTTCTGAATTGTTCTGTAGCTGAAATTATGTGCTTATTAAAAGCTGCAAGGAAAAAAATGCAGCTTGTTTGGAGTTGATGACTGTCTGTTTGCGTATATGAATACATATGTATGCACGTGTGTGCACATATAAAAGTGTGCTTCTTTTGTAACTATTATCCTCCACAAAATGAAAATTTCTGGCAGCAAATCTTTATCAATGGGTGAAGGATTGCAAAACTCTTTTTCATTGAATTAGCAATATAAATCTTTTGTTAGTCTTTTTAAATTTGAAGCTACAGAAAAGAGGAGCTAATTTTCCATGTATGCAGTTTGTCTTTTAAAATCTTGAAACTTTCTGTCTTTGTTTTTTTAATAAGCAGTTGTGGATGAGCAGAATGCTCATAGTGAAGAACAAGTGAACCAGTCGCCAGTAGAATATAGCAAAGAATTGGATGAATCCAAAGAAGAGGAAAAAGAGGAAGATACAAAGGAACTTGAGTCCCCACCGGGTGAGTAAATGAGGAATAAAATAATTTCAAATTACACAGTCTTTTTATATTGCATTATGGAGCACAGTTGGCTCCATAATTAAAAATGCTAGCATCCTGTTTCACTGCAAACTAGTCACAGATTTTGATAGATTTGGATAAATGAAAGTTAAGGGAAAAAAGCAGGAGACGAGATGAACAGTCTATTGGAGTGTATTTACAAAACTGAGAAGGTATTTATCGGAGAGAGAAGTGTCTGCATTTAACTCGCTGTCATGGTTTAAGCCCAGCTGGTAGCTCAG